ATGTTTTCCATTCTTAGGGTGTTGGCCCCATTATCAATGCAGTATCATCTTGGGTTCCAAGTGAGCGTGTCTGGCACGCTGAAGCGATCGCACCCCACGTGACACTCGGGGCGAGCTAGGATGACATGCTAAGATATCTCCGGCTTTTATTACCGCTTCAAAAGGAGGTAGATTTCAGTTTGATCCGTGGGGCTTGCAAGCTTTTGTCTGGAGGATATTTAAGGAATAAAAGTGTGGATAGACTGCAGCAAATTGGGAAGGAAGTGATACTCTAGATTTTTTGGAGTAGGGTTTTAATTAGATTGAAAGATGTCGGCTCTGGCCAGCAGAAGGTCGTTTTCCTTTCCGGATATTTAAGGCCCTTTTCAGTCAATGAATTAATGACAGTGAGGCTGAACAAACAACAAAACAGGACCGTGTAATTCAGTGCAGCTTTAACTTCTGCACTTGGAAAATCAATTATATCAACTTGATAATTTGTGCACACTGTTAAAGTTTAAATAAGTTCTCCTATACATTTGAAACACCTTGTTGTCACATGTTTAATGTTATCAATGTCATGTTTGTCATCAAATTAAAGGAAAATAACTGAAAACCTGGCATTTTTCTTAATGTAAATTCACTCTTAATTATCTAAAAAAAAAAAAATTACAATCATTTAAAAAAAAAAAAACATTGATTAGAGAAAATAAAAATAAATGAAGCTGGAATATTTACTTATTTTAATCATGAAATTGTATAACAATAAATACGCAAGCAAAAAAAAAACCCAGAATTAAATACAGTTATTCTGAAAAAATAAACACAGAATAGAGAAAGGGTAAATTTAATTTAATTTAATTTAATTAATAAAACATCTGGAATATGTATTTGTGTAAAACTGCTACATTGCTGCACTGCTACATTATTTATGAAAAAAAGGACTATTGGACTATTTCTCAATACATTGTCAGATTTTCATTTTAGAATTCAATTCAGCACTTAGGACGGGGGAAAAAAGACAACATCCTCTCAAACCAAAGTAGTGAAATTATTTAAAAGTCTCAGTATTTGCATTTAATTGTGGTATATTGTGGTACAATTAATTACAGATGTAATAACATTCAGGGATTTTTTAAATAGTACAATGTAAAAAAACATGCATGTACATTAAGTGCATTGTATCAAATGCTTAATTTAAATGTTAGTACATGTTAGTTAAACACTTAATATAAAGTCGGACCAACAAAACTAATATGGTTTCCATCTTTAATAACTGAGAGCTTCATGTTTCATCCAATACATAAAGACTTGAAAACACTGCAGTGTAAGTATTACGTATCCAGTCACCACACCAGCTCTGTCCCCTCTACCGCACTACACTTCCCAGCATCCCTCGTGTTTCCCACCTACACTCCATCAGCCATCAGCTAATTACATCTGCACCTGCACCTCATTACACTTCTCCTGCACACCCAGGGTTTATGCAGGAATCATAGAGATGAATTTACTACCTTTTACTACCTTTTTTACTACCTCCACAATATTTTTTACTACCAACACGACATATATTCTATGTAACGTTACAATGTTCTCAATATAATTCATAATCCCACGTTTATAATGAACAACGCGTTATGGTTATTGTGTTATTAAAAACTGTGTACGCAGAGGGGCGGGGTGACCAAAGCTTATTATCATTTAAAGGCATGTGATTGTGCACTGAAACGGCGTGCTGAAAACAGAGCTATTTTTGAGCTGGTAAAATGAGTGTTTTCTTAAAATACTAATGAGACTTTTTGATAAAAGTATATTACAAAGTTTTCATTTAGACCCTAAAGATTCATATTAACTTGTACAAAAATGGCATTATATGACCCCTTTAACCCTAGCCCTTGAGTTATCCTAACCATTACGTTAGCCCTTAGCCCTAATAAGGTGAATAATAACCTTGGCACTTAAAAACAAATGACACTTAACAGCCATAAACTTTAATAAAGATTAATAATAAAGTGTGTCACATCACACACACTTACCCACAAACACACATTCTCACACACACAGACTTAAGCAGTGAAATTACTATCCCAAAACAGCAATTTATTTAATCACATCTCTAAATGTGCTTCAAATATGGCACTGCTTTGCTCCTCCCTCACGCGAACCCGTTAAATATTTTCAATTAGGGATGCACGATACCACTTTTTGCAGAACGAGACGGATACCAATACTTTCATTTTTGGTACTCGCCGATATCGATACCGTAACCGATCCCTGAATTTTCACTGCATTTGTAATTTTTAAATGTATTAGTAGATAAACCAAAAGAATATAAATCATATTAGTTGGCTTAATTTGTTCATCAAATATATATTTCCTTCAGATATTTTCATGCTTAATTAATCCTGCTAAAAAGCATGCTTCTGTTTCTGTCACTGTTCATTCTATTGCTCTATCATATTTTATCTTTCATTTAATACAGGGTATACACAGAAATTCTTAAAATGAATTTAATACCTTTTAATACCTTCACTATATTTTTTAATACCATCACGACTTCAAGATGCAACTGTAGTGGCGTATATAGAGACAAGTAAAGTAATGAAATATCTTCGAAAACTTGCATTTCCCCATAATGTCCAGGGTTTTTTCCTTGGTCAAAATTGGTCTTCGGTGGTGGCCGACAGACACTTATCCTTTCTTGCCCTTTTTTAAAAAAAAAATACTTCTTTGCTGGACGTGATAATTGTTTTGGTATAATCATATCAATATCAAAAAGTAGAATAAAAACGGAGCATTAAAAAGTTTATTTTAAAAGTTTATTGAAGTCTAATTTTCTACCATATACTGTAAAATTTAACAGAATTAGCTGCCAGATACTTTTTTTTTTAAATTAAATAACAAAAATTGCTGCTAGATAACAACTTGCTTTGCACTTTTTTTCTGGTTTCACCTCACTCCAGTCTAAACTAATTTTTTTTTTTTTTGCAATGTTTCTACACATTATAATATAAATAACCTGAAAATACTACGCAGTTTACAACATACATCAATTGTTTGTTCATATTACTTCACAGTGCATTAACTAATGTTAACAAATACAACTTTTGATTTCAATAATGTAGGCTATATGGTGAAATTGACATTAAGAAAGATTAATTAATGATGTAGACGTGCAGTTTATTAATAGTTCATGTTAACTAATGTAGTTAACTAGATTTTAATAAATGGAACCATATTGTGTTACCGATTCAGAAGTCCCATGAGGACAGATCCGTTGTGTTAACCATTCATTAAAGTGACGCGTCATTAGCGGACGTGTACGCATTGTGTGGTTATCCCATCAGTTAGGACATCGCACAAAATTTGTGTCAACAAATAGTTTTTTTTAGGATAGATTTTTCCTTTATTGAAAGTGTGGTTATGTCAGCTGAATGTGGCACACGCCGTGAGAAAAGATAAGGCAACGTTTTTTTAGCACAATTCACACACAGCGGGAAATAAATTTCCAATTGCGCCACGTGAAACTTCGGTCTTCCGACCTTTTACCATCGTGTCTGTCAATTGATTTTGATTAATATGAGCGAGGGAGAGAGAGCAAGAGTGAATTGAGTGCGCGCGCGCAGCCGGGGCTCTCTCTCTGTTCCTTCTTTCAGTTAACATGCACCCTGTCACAAGCGTAGCAGTCAGTCGTCTACATTAGGCTACTCACCGATCAAATATGGCTTTGGCGGCCGACTGATGACTGAAATAGAAGCGAACTCGCGAACAGGTTGGGCAGCAAGCCAGGCCAGCCGGGTACCCAGTTTGTTTCAGCGCGCGCGAACGAACAAACACCACGTCACATGATATCGCACAGGTCCTACTCGCAACATATAAATAAATCCACGCGAATTTTAGAACAAAGTCCTGCACTTAACACAAATTGAAACTCATAGGCCTAGTTGGATGGGGGTTCGAAAATTTACTACTTCGTCAGATGACGTTTACTACTTTTTACTACTTTTTACTGGCCTTAATTTGGCATAATTTAATTTACTACCTTTTACAACCCCGCGGAAACCCTGACACCATTGTCTGGTCTCGTAGTTCCCTCAAAAAACACTTACCTAACTCCATACCTGCACGATTTGTCTTCAGTCATCTGCTTCCTGCATCCGTCTTCAGTCTTCTGCCTCGATCTCCATTTCAGAACCTGCAACACATAAGACCATTACTCATCCAGATATCCATCCTGAACACTATATTCATCAGTTATTCACCTGCTTCCATCGGTGTGATCACATATTTCTGCAAATAAACCTGTTGATTACTTTACCTGTGTGAATCCTTCTGTTTCATGACAGAAGACCATCAAAACCCAACCGATAAACTGTCTGATAAACTGTTTCCAGGATGGCCGCCTGATCGAAGAATATGTGAAAGGGTTCCTAGTTTCACCACCAACTGGACAGATGACGTCCTAAAGAACGTGTTCAGGCATGGACTGGACGATCCTCTACACCAGCCAGCTTCAGCCGCAAAACCAGGTTCATTCAAACAATACCTGGATCATGTGCTGTTGTTGAGCGGTTCAGCCTTCACCGTGGGTGAGGCTGATGATGACATCGCCACTCAACCACCATCACCAGCCATCTTCCTCACCACACCACCTGCATATCTTCACGTCATGCCTATCAAGCCTGAATGTCTTCACGTCAGGTCTGCCCAGCCTGAGCTTCGTCACATCATGTTGGTCAAGCCTGAGATTCTTCACTTCATGCCTATTAAGCCTGAAAGTCTTTATGTCATACCTGCCGAGCTAGTGACTGTTCACTCCATGGCCGCCACCGCGCCTGAGAATTTGGTGCTGGTCCCTGAGCCCGCTTCAGCCCACAAGCCAGCTCCAGTCTCGTCCCGTCGAGACCGCCGCCCTTCCAGAGTCTCGTCCCGTCGAGACAACCGCCCCTTCCAGAGGCTCGTCCCGTCAAGGTCACGGCCACGCCTGAGCCCGTTCTCGTGAGAGAAACCCCAGAGACTGTTCACGTCACGCCTCCCGAGCCCTCGGCAAAGATGGCCGCCGCCTCACCGCCTGGGCCCTCGGCAAAGATGGGCGCCACCTCACCTCCTGAGCCCTCAGCCACGATGGCCGCCGACGCCACACCGCCTGAGCCCTCAGCCAGGTTGGCCGCCGCCACGTCAAAGCCTCTCCCAAGACCTGTTCCTGTTCCTCGATCTGCTTCAAGACCGGTTCCTGTTCCTCGACCTGTTCCTGCTCCAGCTCCTAGACCTGTTCCTAGACCTATTCCTGCTCCAGCTCCTAGACCTGTTCCTAGACCTATTCCTGCTCCAAGAATTGTTCCTGTTCCTAGAGCTGTTCCAAGACCTGAGCCTGTATCTGTTCCTGGGCTTAAGTGCGAGCCCATAGATCCGCCCAAGAAAACTTTTGTGGGGAGGCTATGGGTCCGACCAGAGTGCCCAAACCTGAGTCCCATGGAAAGGCCAGCCCTGGCCACCCGAACTGCAGACTCCGCCCTGCCCACCGAATGGAAGGCTCCGTCCTGGAGGCCTCTGGTCCCTCCTAACCACGTCAGCCTCCAGGACGCCCACCCTCCCCGGGTAGACTCCTTGTATTACGCTTTCCTTCTCCAGCCCTTCGCCACTTCTTCCAACCTTTCGCCTGCCCTTCATCCTCCTCCTGGACCCCCACAGGTACTGTCACGTATCCAGTCACCACACCAGCTCTGTCACCTCTACCACACTACACTTCCCAGCATCCCTCATCTTTCCCACCTGCACACAATCAGCCGTCACCTAATTACATCTGCACCTGCACCTCATCATCAGCACTCCCTATAAAGAGACACTCCTCCTGCACTCCATTGTCTGGTCTCGTCGTTCCCTCAAATAAGGCCTTGTCCACACGGACACGGGTATTTTTATAACCGGAGTTTTTCCTCCTGCGTTTAAAAAAAAATCCCGTCCACATGAAAACGCAAAAACACGCTATCAAGCGCTGTCAAGAGCATGGCACACCAGCAGGCGGTGATATAACCCTAACCGTAAAGCCACGTTGGCCAATCAGAAGCTTAACAAAAACTTATTACAGGTTCCGGTAGGCGGATAACGGCGCAGCGTGGGCGCACACTCTGACATCGCAAGGCAAAAACCCCAGTTTTACTGTCTACACGACAACACTATAACCGGCGTTTCTGAAAATCCTCACCCTGGCAGGGGTTTTCAAAAATGTTCGGTTTCAGTGTCCTGATACTGCGTTTCCGTGTGGACAAACGGCCGAACCGCGTAAAAAAATCCACGGTTATAAAAATACCCGTGTCCGTGACAAGGCCAAACACTCACACTTTGTCTTCAGTCATCTGCTTCCTTCATCCGTCCATTTCAGAACTTGCAACAGATAAGACCATTACTCATCCAGATATCCATCCTGAACACTATATTCATCAGTTACTCACCTGCTTCCCTCGTTGCGATCACATACTTCAGCAAATAAACCTGTTGATTACTTTACCTGTGTGAATCCTTTTGTTTCATGACAGTAGGAGTAGGCCTCAAGTGGAAAACAAAATGTTGAATTGTATGATGGTTTACACAGCAAGGAGCAATCTAAATTCTCTATACCAATTTTCAAAAATATCAACATTTCAAAAATATCCGTGAAAATGACTAAAAATGCTGTATTATGCATGCCAGACAAGTAATTGTCACTTTAAAAAAAAAGAAAAAAAAAAAGACTACGCTCCCTGAATGGACAGAACACATTCGACGTCACAATGATGTCTTGTGAGCAGCCCCAAAGTTTATAACCAATGATTTTTTTTCTATGAAAATGAATCAAAAACATAAGCTGGACAATGACTTTCTTCTGCTATACAGCTAAAACAATCTTTGTTGCATTAATTTCATAGTATCACTGCAGTACATGCTGCTTTGAAACAATCTGTATTGTAAAACGCGCTATATAAATGAAGGTGACTTGACTTCATCTTTCAGTACATCTTCTTCAGTGTTTTCGAGCGTTTGTGGCATGGTAATGTCAAAATGTTAACAGTGTTTTCAGTGGAGCTCCTGGTCTCAGCTGGCTATAATATGCACCACTGATGAATAGCATCTGCAGGCTGATTCCAGTGATCCAAACCTATTTCAAACTCCAGTCAAGATTCACACACTGTTTGCTCTCCAAATCCTCCTAACTGCTATTGAACGTGCAAAACTGAAGATGCTTCATTTGCTATTACAGGCCCTTTTAGCTTCAAAACGCCATGAGAGGAAAGTAATTACATCAAGACTCACACTGTGCATGTGTGCAGAATAAGTAATGTGTCAGGTAGAAATTCAAATATGACAATATAAGCATCTCCTAATGAACGGAATAGTTAGCCCGCAAGTGCAAATTATGTTATTATTTATCTTTAAAAATACCATATTATGCACTTTTACAATGTCTTGATTTTGTTTTTAGGGACAAGTAAAATAGGATTTGATACGTGAATGTTCCCAACAAAAAAAAAAAAAAAAAACTTTTTTTTTCTTTTTACATATTCTCCACTGATGCAGCACCTCTCTTCCCAGTCTTTCAGTAACGCTCTGTTTAGTTCCTGTCTCTATGAAGCCCCTCCTTCTAAAAAATGTGCAATGTTCTCTTATTGGTCGGCTGGACCAGTGTGGTGTGATTGGTCAAGAGCTTCGAGCGTGTTTGGGAAATGCGAGTTTCAACACGTTACTAATGCAACTCGACCAGGCCTTGCCTCTTTATTTTGCATATGCCTTTATCTGGAATTATTCAAATGATGGATATTGTGAAGTGTTTGTTCGTGGAAAAAAACCCTCAAAACTACAATGGACTCAGGTTTCAGGCACTTCCGAAACAGTGCGCACTGATTTCGAGAATAACTCCTTTTGGAGTGAGTTTATGCTTTTAACTATTTAGACCCATTTCATGCAGACAGCAAGATTACACACTAAAGAAAGTTGAAAATGTAAATAAAAAGTAAGTTTTCTTGTATTCTACATTAAAAAAAACCAACGTATGAGTGTCGACATTAGGTAAGTAAATAATTATTTCAGGATCTATGTGATGTCACAACAAATGTCTTTTCCTGGTTTTAATGTGGATGTTGTATTATCAAATTTCTACAACACTACAGCAGAGACAAAGGGAAGTTATTAAGAATAAACACATGAAATGAATTGCATTAATGCTAACTGGAGTGTCTCATCTAATATACGTTCCCTTTGATCAAAGAGCCACGGAGGAGAGAGCCTCCAAGTTTTTCTTTCATTACTAGAGGCTTATGGAAATTTGCAAGGATATTGAGGGGGAAAAACGATAATGGCTTTGCAGCTTATCCTTTATGACCGCAGACCACTAAGACTATTCCAGTTTGTTCATTTACAAACAAAGTTTATGTGGTGGATGTCGCATGATTGATTCAGTTGCGAGGGGAAATTAAGTAATCAGTGCACACAATGATGTACTTACACAAATGTGATGTGATGCAGTTTAATACATAAAACATACACCATACAAGCAAAACAAAGATGCTCTGGGAAATATTTATTCAAATACATCAGATATTACAGAGTTATTAAAAGCTTATCGAAGTATGTGGAAAATAGACTCAAGATCATTGTCTCATTCACCACGTGTGTTCAAATCTGAAATTATACACTATTAGTTAGTTCACAGAAGGTTCAAGAGATGATTCAAGAGTATGGAGTGAAATAAGTGAAGTGTGTCTTCCTGCTGATGTTGTGTATTGAAGCGATATACACTGTCTGATAAGTTACATGAAGGTACAAATAACTTCTCAGCAAAGGGTAATGATCTTGGTATGAAACTTAATGGTGGAAAAAGTCTGTCCAAACATAAAAGCCTTAAAGGCAATGTATTTGTATTATCGTCAGGGTTCTAAAGACATAAATGAATATATAATAACTAACAACAAATAATATGAAGCTACGTATGTCTTTCTGAATCATATCTGTGGTTGTAAATGATACATTAATAGAAAAAAAATTGATAAAACAGAATTTACACAAGTGTAATATTTTATTTATTCAGGGAAAATATCTGAATGCAAAAAAAGGACATATAGGCTTTATGCCGAGCGTCACGTGACCAAACCGGAAAACAGGTCTCATTGCATCCGCTTGTCAGAGAAAGTGTTAACGGCCGTAAGAACTAACTACGATATCAATGGATTTTTAAGGTAATCAGCTAACCTACTAAGTTCACTTTGTTTATTGGTGTTTTATGCTATTTAAATATCTAAACGTTAGTGTGAAGAAGAAAAATTAAAAAACGTTTAAATTAGTGCTGCCACTAACGACTAATTTTCTAACGACTAATCTTTCGACTAATTTTTCGATTAGTCGACTAATCTAAACGACTAATTAAAAAAAAAATCAAGTGTTTATTTCGTTGTCCATTTTATTTTGAACTCAACTGAAGGGCCAAAACATAAAATGTCACCTGTTCAAAAACATTATGTATTAACAATCTAAGCATTAAGTATCTGCATTTCCATTAGGCTATTCCATATTAGTCAGAGTCCTAATCTAATCCTCTAATAACAAACATGTATGTATTACTTAAATTAGCTCTTTGTTCTGCCTTAAAAAATGTACAGTAAGCTAATAATGATTAATTTATGTACATTTCTGAAAAGCATAACTGATAACATCACTCTGAATAGTAAAGTAGATGCCATGGCATTTTCTGTGAAAAGCGCTATACAAATAAATTGGAATTGAATTGAAAGAGTCTGGACTAGCCCACTATGAGTCGCGCTGAAAGCAGGCAGGCCCGCAGTTATGTAGCTCGCGTTTACACTTGCGTGCATGGCGGGCCCGTGCCGCGGTTCGCGTGAATGTGAAAGCAACACGGACTCGGGAGCGCTTGTTCAGGAAGTTAAGTAACCTGCCCATGCGTTTTAGCTGATTATGATGCATTTAGTTAAATAAAACACATGTAAGGGATGATAGTGTTGATGATTTACCTTGGATACGCGAGAGTTGAGTCTGCAGTGTATTCGCGCATTGCGCGTGCAATCAGGGCAACACATTTGGAAATCCACTGTCTCCTCAAAAGAGTCCGTTTGAAAAACACAATATATTGACCCGCGTTCTGTTTTCTATCATGCGGCGTGCACGTTTGCGATGGCATAAGATGCACGCAAACTCAACAGGGTTCGATAGAATTGAGTGTGAAACCAGACCAACGCTGCGGGGGGCGCCGGGAACAATCGCACTCGCGCTCGGACTCGGACCGCAGCAAACGAGCCCACTGTGAAAGCTCCGTCACCTGCCTCCGCAATTTTTCATATCAAAGCAGTGAAGGTGGGCGGGAACGTGAAGGAAAATGATAGCAGATAAACCAGCAGGGCTCGCACAGCGCACAGACTGG